GGTCCTCTGGTCCCCTCCGATGGATCCTCTGCAATATAAAAAGGCAACAGGTTAGTATTTGTTAAAAAATTCTGCAGCACCTCCCTTGCACGGTGAGGTTTCCATAACCTGCAAAAAAGAACGGCACAAAGGCCGACATTCACAACGGCACGAAGGCCGACAACGACAACGGCACAAAGGCCCTCATATCGACATACAACACGAAGACCCACACAACCACATACGGCACGAAGGCCAATTACGAGAGTTTTACCTAGTGTTCTTGGTGAGTCAGGCGTCATGGTGCGAGGTTCGATTTCTTCTCCGGCGAGGTCGAGGCGCCGGAGTACTCCTCTCCCCTTCCTTCTCTCTCTTCTCGCTTCTCCTCCTCCTCCTCTCCTTCCTCTTCTTCTCCTTGTCCTCCTTTTCCTCTTCTTCTCCTTCTCTTCCCCTTCCTCCTTCTCCTCTTTTCCTTCTCTTCTTCCTCCTAATTCACCTCTGCCGCCTCCCCCTCGAACACCAGTAGGCGACTGACCAGCCGAGTGGTGGCCTCTGGGTGGTGGGGGGAGGCAGGCGGCCAGGTAGAGGGTCGCCGATGGGGGGCAGCCACAGGGAGGGGGCCGGCGGGGGAGGAGGGGCGGCCAGGTGTGGGCGGCCTTGGGTGGAGCTGGGGGCCGGGCCGTGGTCTGAGGCGTGGTGGTGGTGGTGGTGGGGTGGAAGGCAGGGCGGCTTAGGGTGAGGGGCGGCCGGGGGGCCGACGTCGGGAGGGGCGGGGGCGGGCAGGTGGGTATGGCGTGAGGCGAGGTGGTGGGCGCCAACGACGTGGTGCAAAAGCGACGGGGTCTTGAACCGAGGTGGCGGTAGCGGACCTCCAGGATTTTGGGCCGACCCAGTATTTTAGGTTTTGGGCCTTTTTGCCAAGGCCCAAATCCAGAGCCCTCAACAAAGATGTTTTATTTTTTAAAAAATTCTTTCTTGAGTGCCCCTGCCCAAAGAAACATTTCAAAAAAGCAGTCTTTCTTAGAGTGCCAAGTCGGCACTCGGCAAATTTTAATTTTTTTTTTTTTTTTTGAATTTTTTGTTGGGCCGCTTACATTGTTCACAACTTCATGTTCAAATTTGGTGCTTTTCTAGTTTTTTTGTTATATTTGGTTGATTAATTTGATTATGTTGAATTTTTATATATAATTTAAATTTGAACTGCAAGTGCATGGAATATTGTAATCTAGTGCTTCGAAAAATGTTATTCATGGTATTTGGTATATGTTGAGTCTCTATCCACGAACTCGCATCAAATTTCGCGCATCTTCTTCACGTAACATGACGAGCCACTTGCCGGAAAAGTGTTTTAAAATTATATAAAGTCCATACGAAGTCCGAAAATTACAAAACTTGTTGTGGTGTCATGTCATCGCATGTGTAGGCTGTGGTAAAAAATTAAGAATGTTTCGAGCAAGTTGCGACGTCAGATGCATAAAACCCAGACATCTCCACATGTAACATGACACCTCGACAAGTTTCGTGATTTTCAGACTTCGTATGGACTTTATATAATTTTAAAACACTTTTCCCGCAAGTGGCTCGTCATGTTACGTGAAGAAGGTGCGCGAAATTTGATGCGAGTTCGTGGATAGAGACTCAACATACACCAAATACCATGAATAACATTTTTCAAAGCACTAGATTATAATATTCTATGCACTTGCAGTTCAAATTTGAATTATATATAAAAATTCAACATAATCAAATTAATCAACCAAATATAACAAAAAAACTAGAAAAAGCACCAAATTTGAACATGAAGTTGTAAACAATGTAGGCGGGCCCAACAAAAAATTTGGGGTCAAAAAAACAAAAAAAAATTGAAAATTTTCCGAGTGCCAGCTTAGCACTCGGCAAAGACTGTCTTTGCCGAGTGCTGGGCCAGGAGCACTCGGCAAAGAATTTTTTAAAAGAAAATTTTCAAAAACGGTTAAAAAGTCTTTGCCGAGGGACTAACGGTGATGCCCTCGGTAAAGATTGACGGCAGGGGATGGACGTCGTGTCAGGCGGTGTTGCCGAGGGCCGGCCATTTGCCGAGGGTTAGCCCTCGGCAAAGAGTCTTTGCCGATGACTGTTCTTTGCCGAGTGCCCGAGCATTTTCCCTCGGCAAATCCTCAGACCCTCGACAAAGATGCTCTGTCCGGTAGTGCGAACAGGGACATTGATGAAGCAACTAACACCCTACTACTACTACTAGCAATAAGCAGCATGTTCGGTTGGCTGGTTCGTATCATTGCTGGTTCGTTTATGTGAGAAAAAAATACTGCTGGCTGGTTCGTGTAAATAGTAGCCATATGAGGGGGCTGGCCAGCCAGCCCAGCCAGCCCCAGCCCAGTGATCAGGCAAGATAATCATAGGATATAGCGTTAGCGTGACTGATGAGTGATGATGGGCTGAAACTAGGCGAGTGCGGTTAAGCTAGTTTATTTGTTTGATGGTCTCCATAGATCGCAGACAGAATATGTTTGCCAACTGTTTGATTCCATGCTTTAAAGTATAGTTACTAAATTTTAGATCACACAAACAAGGCAGTGTTCTGCTGCACTACTTCAGCAGTACTTTTCAATGAACGAATATCATTTTTCTCTCACAACAAATCAGTATAAGTATCAGCATATGCTAAATTTTAGCGAAACAAAAAGGACCATAAAAATTTTAGTCCCTAATTTTAGCCAACTGAACTTTTGAATTCAAACGGACCCTACGTTTGCCTGCCGTGCATGCTTTTGGCAGTTCGCGATGCATGCCTAGGAGGTCCATCCATCCAAGAGCAATAACTCTGCACACGTCGACGGCCGTCGTCCTGCCCGTCCGTCCAAGATCAATCAATCATTCATTCTCCGGTGAAGAGCAGAGTCACACAAACAAGGCAGCAGAAGCGAGAACGCTTCGCGAGGAAGCAACACACATCACACGCACATCATTAGCATTACAGATTTACAGTACAGTTTACAGAAGGAAGGGACGGATCGGAGGTGTATATGATGAACCTTAGAACCTAGCTAGAGTAGGCCAGCTAGCAAAGCTATGGAGCTAACAAGCCAGGCCAGGCCAGGCCAAGCGAAACGAACAGAACAAGACAGAAGCGAACAGAACGAGACAGAGTTAGGATTAGCAGGGAGCAGGTCAGGTCCATCCAGGCCGCGTAGATATGGATGGATCATGGATGGGTATGGGCCGCGGTACCGCAAGCAAGCAAGCAACTAGTGGTGGCAAACAAGCAGGCGTGCACGCGAGTTGGCCCGTACCGTGGCGCCTTGCGCCTTGTCGCGGTGCTTGCTTTTGGCTTTGGGCGTCGTCGGCACGCGGAAACCGATGCCTTGGACGCATCACACGCGGCCATTTCAGCCCCCCCACACCTCCTTGGACCCCTTGCGCTTGCGCTTGCGCCCATCGGACACGGCCAGCCATTCTCATCGCCGCTCCACGCCGCCCCACCTGACCTGACCTCGGCTGCTTGCTTTGATTGCCCTCCGACCGCGACCGCGACCGCTGGCTTGTTCTCGTTCCCGCCCGCCACACCCTCACCCGCCTTGTCCTGCCCTGCCATGCCCTTGGACGGACGGACGGGGACGCATGGTATGGAGTATGGACGCACGCCACCAGCAGCAGCAAACAAACGGATACGAACGAACAAACGGAAGCGGACCCGTGGCTTGGATGCGTGTTGGTTCGGGCGCGGCGCGGCGACAAGCGGAAGCGGCTCTTGCTTTGGTTTGGACGGACAGCAGCTGCCAAGGCATCCTTTTGTTCTGGCGTCGCTCGCTTGGACCCGTAGCGCGGCGTGGATCAGCAGACAGCAGCAGGCGTCGTCTACCTCTCTACCCGGTGTCGCGACGCAGGACGCCTGCGTCTGCCTGGCGCCACTCGCCAAAGCGGTATGCTGCTGCCCGGTATGGTGTGGTGTGGGTGTGGCGTTCGCGCGCGATCTATTTTTGTTTTCTGTTTCCTATTCAATATTCATTCAAAACCGCCATCCGGTGTCCATGCTACTGCCGTTTTGCTAGCGAGTACTCTAGGATGAGTAGTAGTCCATGAAAAGGCGTGCCGACCAGATTAGCAATTATATTATCTATAACTGAACATTTTTACGCACTGCTTACGGCTGCAACAGGGATATATATATATATATATATATATATATATATATATATATATATATATATATATATATATATATATATGATACTGGAATGGAACCTTGATTCTGGTGCGCCGCCGTATATGTATCAGTCGATGACGTAGCATCCATCCGTTGCCCCACCTGCCAGCCACCGGGCCCTTGCAGCTCCTCCAGGCTCCAGCACGGCAGCACCCAGCGGCGATCCTTTTCGGTGCCATTATCCACTGCACGAAGACGAATGGCATGGCAGCCACCCGCCCGTCCCAAGCCGACGTGAGATTCACGCTCGAATCAAAATCTACCAAAACAATACTCTGTTTACCTGATCATTGTAGGAGGGGGGCCTCTCAGCCAAAGATGACCCAAACAGGCATCAAAAACCGACCAGACAAGGCGCCGACCATGGATTATTGTTATCAGCACATGGATGACGAAGTGAACCCATACCCTGTAGCCTGTAGGCACACTGCGATATTTATGCTATCCTGTCGACTAACACTCAAACAAAGCCCCGAGGAAGATCGAGACAGCACATAATCCAGACAACCGGGTAAGCGATATTTTATGAAACCCCGACCACATAATCCAAGAGTGAAGAGTCCACTTCATTCCACGATACTCCCATACTGTACAATCACGACACCACAGCAGAGTACTCTAAACGCGACGTGGAATTATGTCAAGGCTTTTCCTAGTGACTACATCCTCCGAGATCTTTAGTGTTCTACGGCATAATTTGCTTCATAACATGAGAGCCTTGCGGCTAAATCTCGGAGTTAGCAGAGCTAGCTAGTGAGCTATACAAAAGATGGCGCCAAGATCACCAAGGCGGTGACACATAAGCCAGCAAGTTCAGTTAGTTCAGAACTGGGTCCAGAGTATTTCCTCCATCACCCCAGACAAAGTGAAATATGTTTCGGCTTGCTCCTGCATTTACCATCTCGTTCTTGTTCTTTAACATCTTCTCTTGTGCAGGGATATCACCATCCTACAACATGGCGAAGGTTAGCTCTGGTTCACAGATGTGTTACAAGTATTTTACGGGACACAATAGCACTGCGACACAAAGGAGATGGAATGTACTACAGCCATTTTGTTCTGAACATGAGTAACAATTGTGACCTGTATAAATGGAAACAAAACATTTGGTAGGCAGAGGACTTACAAGTATCGAGTATGCCTTTGCCAGTAAGAAAGGGGTTGGATAGAGCTCTACAACAGCTTGTGCAGCTTCTTCTGTTACTTTTGGCACCTGCATCATATTTATATTCGTTCATGGCAAATTTGCATTCAACTATGACATCGAACGAACCAGCTGATTAACTTTCATTAAGTACTGCCAAGTTACCTGCATAAGCTGAAGGGCAAATATGTCGCTCACTGTTTTCTTCTTAAGGTCACAACACTTTCTCTTAAACTCATCAAAGGTTGGGCAAACACGAGAAGTTTTACCAACAATCGAGAAATTTGCATCATAGTATGCTATTATTGAATGTGTAAGATCAATATATCTCTTCTGAGTATCAGCAAACCCAGTAGTTTTCTGAACATCAAATCCATCGAGAACCTCAGTGGTGAAACAGCTGAAAATAAATGGCAGAGCAATTAAAAAACCATACATCTTATGCCCCAAATATTATATTCCATAGTTAATAAATATAGACATCACATATTAGTGGGAAGAATAACAGTAACAAGGTGTAAACTAAGGGTTAAATGTATCACTGTCTGCATAATATATATTTTTTTTGATTCATACTGTCAGCATAATATTGATCGCTCAGGTGACTTGAGCAGTGTACATACGCTGTTGTAACCCTCTTTGGTGCACTGTTTAGATCACCTTCAACGAGATATATCAACTTCCTCAGCCCGCATTTCTACAAAGGAATAACAAATGAAACTATCGTGTCAAGCTGTGGCTAAAATAAACAATATATGCTAGAGGAACTTGGTAAGCTCTGGAAATCCATCAACATGGACAACAGACACAATGTCAGTGACAAGTTTTACAGTTTATAGATTCATGCTTAAGTCACCATACCCTTTGTCATGTCATTGCCAGGGAATGAGATACTTTATAGCCTTTAAATTCAAGATAACAAAAGAATAAAACATAACCTCTGTGAAAGGTTAGAATAGGGACATATTGGACTGGCCAATGACATCCTCACATCCAACCGGTGCAAAGTGCAACTCAAATTGGAGCACTCCTTATCAAATTCGACATTTCTTTAGGTTCAAAATGTATGACATTATAGTCTTTGAATGACAGCCACATATGGGATCATGGCACCAAACACACATGATCTTACACATCAATCTAATTGCAGCATAGGTAATTCACCAATAAACAGAACAGCAACAGCAACAGCAAAGCCTTTCAGTCCCACGAAAGTTGGGGTAGTCTAGAGATAAAACCCAACATGAGACACCAACAGAAAGGAAAAAATATATATAAATAAAAGAATAAAAAGGAAATAATAATAGTATAAGTGTCATCAGCTGAAGGTACAAATAAGGAAAAGGAAGTGAAGGTTCAAGCCTTATAAGTTATAACAACAGCAGAAGCAAATGCAAGTTCAGAAGGCACCTGCATCCTGAATTTCTGATCTTTGTATCGGTTGTCTTCAATTGAGCCATCTAAATCCGTAACCTCTTTCCTTTCAACAATGAAATCAAAGAACATACTCTGTGTGATCTTCCTTATGACAGGCAATCCAAATACCATCTCCCACAGGTAACTGTCTAACCTGAATGGCAAGGTTCAAACTGAAGAATCAACACCACTTTCTCTGGCACATTACACAAACGAATCAATCAAGCATCAGACCTCAACCTTTCTTATGTTAAAAAAGAACAAAAACTATATCCAAGAGGATAAATTCTAGACATTTATACAAAAAAAATTTAATCCAATGACTTGCAACACTGTCCACAATGTGACATTAGGCATTGATGCCACCTGCCACCTTGAGCACGAGGAAGCAAACACTGTAGGTTGCGAGCATGAGCAGTTGAAACAGACAAAAGTATCAACCAAGTTATCTTCTTATTCCTACCAAAATTTCACTGTATTTTATGTTATTTTCCCTTTTTTCATTTCTAATAGTTTTTTAATATTTTTTCAGGTAGTTTGTTAGTAGTCAAAGATCCTTGACTGAAGGAATTAGGACTCCAATGGCATATTTTGAAACAAACTATGTAATAGAGGCATAAACATGAAAGCGGGAAAATGTAGTGGCAAATGAAATTGCGTGTCAAGCTCTGGGCTCTAGGTTTGGCATCATATATGAGATATCCATAATCAGTATAACTATGCCCCCAATTTCATATCTACAGCAGAGAGAAAGTAGGACATGATATAGAAGAGTGTGCAAACTCTGATCCCAACTAACCTCTACCTCAAAATGGCTCTGTGAACGAATGTTATCAGCAACTTTTCTTGAATGAGACCTGCACAAACAGATAACAAACATGAGAACCCGATTCCACGCAAAGCAAACACATTAAATTCCAATGATGACACATCCAACTACACAAATAAAATACATGAGAACCAATTGCATGCAGAGAAAATATACTGAATTCCAACAAAAAAACAATGCAGAGCAGTCATAACAAGATTATTTAAAAAAAATAACAAAAAATCATTTTCTCCCTCAAATAATCTATGAACCTATGGAAATCAAGTCATATATTACAGTTCCGTACAAAACGCTCCCTCCGTTCCAAATTATAAGACGTTTTGGCTTTTCTAGATTCATGACTTTTGCTATGCACTTACTCCGTAGATATACACTATGTCTAGATGCGTAGTAAAAGCAATTGTATCTAGAAAAGCCAAAACGTCTTATAATTTGGAACGGAGGGAGTAGAATGGTAAATCAGACCAGTCATAACCAATGAAACTTGTACCAAGGTTACAAACATTGCATAAGGTAATCTTCCTCATGATAATTTGAACAAATTATGGAAAATGAACAGCAGAGGGCCATTTTTCTTTTAATATTATGAATTGAATGAGATATCCCACCTAAAGATCAAAGATAACTACAAATATACAAAAATAGATACAAAATTTCTTTGTGAGAGTAGGATATGATGATACAGACCCGAATTTTTCACGATCATCCAATATTAAAATAACTTCATAAGCTTCAAGAAAGTTTTCCTTGGCTCGACGAGGTGGCATAGCTAGTTTAGCACAACCCTAGCAGGAGCAGATGCAGAATAATAGTATATTTAAGGAAAAAGAATGTTTCTTGAGAAAGTTTCTCCATCAAAAGTCAAGCATACCATTGCAGAAGATTGCAGCTTGGGTGTTCCTTGGAATGGAAGAGGAATATCTGGCAGTCCGCAATTAGTAACAGGCTCCTTGCCTGCATTAAAGTATAGGAATCAACCAGGAAGACTGGAAGGGAATGACACTAATGTTTCAATATTTTTGTACAATCTAAGGGGGTGTTTGGGACTGCTCCACAAACTCTGCTCCACAAACTCCACCGTGGAGCAGCTCCACAAAAAACTGGAGTTTGTGGAGTACCTCTTTAGGTGCTCTCACAACTCCACCCTTTTTCCTGAAGCAGAGTGCGTGGAGCTGAAACCGTTTGCCTAAAAAACGTGGAGCGGAGCTGAAAAACGTGGAGCGGAGCAGTCCCAAACACGCCCTAAATAGGAAACGTAGTGATATCCATAGAACAGGATTGCATGTTTCAGTTTTGGTAGAACCCCTTTCGGTAAATTTTTTTAGAACACACAACTGGTAGCCAGAATAAATTATAGAGCAGTTTGAACAAAAAAGTAAGCATAATTCTACGAGAATTTATCAATATGAACAGAAAAGCAATTGAAACCTTTTAGGGGAATGTTCTTTCCACATGGCTCTTCTGAATCTTAATCGCAGCAAATGATTCCTTCGTAATTCTACACATGATAGAGAAACCATGAGTTACGAATGTATCATAGATCTACAATTATGGAAAAATATGCCAAGAAATTGAAATACTGGCTGAAATTATATCAACTGTGTGTAAACAGTATATTTAAATTACTAGTGCAAGTAAATCTACAGTCACATATTCGATGAGGGGTATCATTTTATTATAAGAAGGAATTGTAATTAAGAAAGAAAGAAAGTTAGAAAACCACCTTATAAAGTGTAAAAGGTTTAATCTCAGGGAATACGTATAGCTCGCATGGACAAAAAGGATTTTAAAGAATCGAAATTATTTCCTTGTCAGGTGTCACATTATTGTTGTAGCTACAATATTCTGCCGGAGCATGTAAGTATGTAGACTAAACTAAATATATGAAAAACTACATGCTTTGAAGTAATGTTTTGATAGTTAAACATCGCTCTACTATTGATGTTTGAAAACTGAAAAGTACTTTTGTTTGTGTCAGACCAGGACCAAGACAGAAGGCTAGAACATAAAAACTGAAAACTTCATCAAATAATAACTGAAGAAGACTATCAGAGCACACCTTTATGTCTTTCATCATACCTAAACATACAGAAGAATCTGTGAAATGGTCTGTGTATGTATCTTATTGTTAGCACGGAAAACAAAAGCAGTTTTGAAAAAAGGTAGTCCTTACAGTAGTTTGAACTTGACGGTAGCAACTGCTCTTCTTTTTTGTCAGAGAACTGCCGCTGACAAGCTCAGGACTGTGCCTGGAAACAGAAGGATTCATAGCAGATGTGTTGTGAGAATCTTCTAATCCAGACCATGAAAGACATTCATGTGCAGTGCCTTCCCCTTCTCGAGTTAGCATATACCTACAAAACTAACCTAGTCAGCTCCAACCGATGTTTAGAATCTCAAAAGAATGTGGATGCCTTATAACAAAAACCAAAGTAGATACATAATGTGCATAGTTGAAAGTTGCATATGATAAAAAGTGGACACAAAATAAAAGACCATTGTACCAGAGGAGATAACTAAATACCAAGATGGATCAGAATGGGATCCAGTTTGTATGACAAAAAAGATGGTAGATCTAAGAATCATGTTGGTGTTGCATCTATTGCGGTCTTTACAGGTCCACTAACCCATGATAGAGTTAATGTTATACTGTAGTTAACCTTAAATAAAATCTTCCAATACCATTTGCAGAAGGAAAGAGATCATTAGGCTTCCAAATGCCCACAGCAAAATCTAATATGAAATGGCCAATTTATCTGCTAGTATACAAAATCACTTTATTGTGTTAGCATATTGAGTTTCCTCCTCCTAACAAATAAGAAAAAATATTGATGTGATAATGTCTCTAGCCCTTGGGAGAAAATCTGGTGGATTCTTTAAAGATCGTTTTAACAATGTGTAATGCTAGCATTGATGCCATCATGCTGTGTAATGCAGCAGCAAATTGCAGAGCCAAAAGATATACCTATGAAATTTGTACTTATAACAAGCTGTGGGGTTTGTTTCTCTAAATTTACTTATATCATGAGGGTTTATGTGTAACCTTTTGTACAGTCAAGTATTACTTTGCCAAAAAAAAATTAATAACTGTGGAATGAGTGTATAGGACGTGCACAAATGGAAAATGAGAATGTCGTGTATTACTTTGCTGGGTTACTCCACTTGGTGACAAATCCATTAGATAGCAGTGTCTTCATGCAGCTCCAACCAGTGTACCAGTCCTTCCCGTAACTCTGTTTTGCTTTACTTTTATTTGGACTGATTAAAATGAAAAGTAGCTACTTAGTAACATGTCAAACATAGCAGGAGTACCAAAACAGCAGGAAATCACTGAGACAGAGTACCCAATCGCGTCTCGTGACAGTCCACTGGCTTCAGCAGCATCAATAAGCTCTTGTTTCATCATAAAATATTTCCCGTTAGCCTTTGCCCTATAGGAAAATTCCATCGTTATATTATCTTAAATATTTTCTCGAAAACTTAGGTATCTTTCTCCTGCCCCTATGAATAAACATCAATATTCAACCTCCCTACTAAAAAATATACGGTATATACCTCAAAGAAATCATACCTAAGGAGTGTTATTAGTATGGCATAAGCAGCAGTGTTCTTCCTTGGCAAATAACTTTTTTTCCCTTTTTGGTTTCTTTCCTATAACAACAAATGACACAATTCAGAGAAAGAGGGTTTTCAAAGAACTCACAGTCAACCATAAAAATAGTGAAACATTACCTTTTGCAGGAGATAAATCCTGATTCGACTCTGCAAAGAAACTTTTCATATGTTGTATGAGCCATGGTCCCACACCCCTGACAACAATGGTAAAACATAATGAAAATACACTTTATGATGCAAAACTACATTGAAAAAATGCCTTATGATACAGCAAAATTCAGGCTTATTGTTCTAACGCAACACAAGGGATAAATAAAGCTCTCAGAAGTCAGACCCTCAGTTATAAGATAACACTAGGTTGAAAAAAGAAAATTCAAATTTAACAAGAAATGGTGGTTTCTGCCTTTCTGGTTTCTAATCGATCATGTTTGGGTGAGAAATCACAATGTAGATATAGCCGCCTAGCAGACCTTACATAGTAACTGAACATTGCCGGCTTAAATATGCGATGCTACATTCTGAGATTTAAAAACAACCAATGAGTTCCTGAGATGTTCAAGTCAAACAGAATTGGGGACAAGCCCTCACTTCCGATTAGCAAAATGAACACACCTACATCACTACATGCCAAAACTACAAACAAATTCACATGTCTAACAGTATACAGCTGTTAGTAACCGCGGATGTACCCCCAAATACCAATTAGCGAAATGAACATGTCTACACGGCAAATCACAAACCAATTCATTCGTCTTAATGTATTCAACCATTAGGAGTAAGCAGAAAAGAGCCTTCAACCACAATTTTCTCTGTAATGTCAGCTCTAAATGAAACGTCCTCGCCAAAACAAGGCATCCGCTTGGCACGAAACAAAATCCATCACACGGTAGCTTCAAATGGGGCATTTCAATACCATGAGAGAGAGGGAGGAGGGGGGCGGGGCTTTTCATGGAAAGGATTTCAGAAAAGTATATTTACTTGACGTTCGAGAAGTCCTTGAGGGTCCGGATTGGCTCCTTGGAGGAGCAGAGGCTGCGGTTGGCGTTGGCGAAGGCGAGGTAGTTGTTCGGCGAGAGCCCGTCCGGCTCCTGCATCATCGCCCGCCACTTCTCCAGGAAGAAGCGAGAGAGGGACTCATTCTCCGGGTTATGCACCTTGAGTTGCTTCGGCACCGGCAGCGCTTCCTTTGGTTTCTTCGGCGGCGGCCGCATCGTGATCGCTCGGGAATTGGTGCACGGCAGTGGAGGCGGATAGCTGGGTTGGGGATGCGGGAATCGGTGCGCGAAGCTAGGGTTTGGGGTTTCGGAGCGTGAAGGAGGAGGAGCCCGCCATTGCGGTGATTCGAGGGGGTTTTGCAGTTTGCGGTCGGGTTTTGGAAGTTTTGATGACGATGATGAGCTTCTCAGACAAGGATCAAAGTTCATTCACTCCAACGCATCGCAGGCCAGGCCTAGTTGGGCTCACGCTTCAGGCCCAATGTTCAAACCCAACCCACCAGTACGAACCACCTAAGCCTCTTTTTATCAAAAACAAAAGAAAAAAAATTCATTTCATCTCTCTAACTTCGCTGAAATCTGAATCGCGACTCCTTCGATTGAGAAGTCAAATTTTTATTCTCTTTTATCTTTTATTAAAACTGTTCAATTTTACTCTCTTTGTAGGGTTGAGAGCAGGTTTGACTAACATGACGCTACGTTAGCCACGAGAAAAATAAGTCAAACCATATTGATAGTTCAAGAAGGTCAAATATACTTTATCAAAAAAAAAAAGCATAGAAAAAAATCCAAATATTTTCTCTAGACTTAATTTAAAACCCTAGACTTAATTTAATCTTAAAAAAAGATTATATAAGACTTGCTTTAGCTCGAAAAAAGTATGAAACCAAATTTAGATTTTTTCCCTAAAAGTATGCAATTTCTTATGTTGCCTAGTTTATAATTATTTGAATCTTATATGGTCTTATTTTTTGTGTTGATTCACTAGTAGATATTCTTTTATCTATTATTGTTAGTCTATGTTGACGAAAATACTAATATGGGTCCAAGTGACTTTGAGTTCTATACTTGAGATCAGAAGGTGGATATGGCTGCAACCTTTATTTTGGTTTAGACAAGAAATGAACAATCTCTACTTTGATTAGTGATGGCTTTCGATAGGCCATGCCCACTAAGTCCCCATATCACAAAGAAACGACGTCCTTTATTGCAGACAGTGAATTTTGTTTCTTGTTTACAAACATGCAGATAAATTGTGCTTGGTGAGCTTTGAAATAGATATCAGCACAAAATCGAACACTTGTGAATGAGAATTAGGTGTAAAATAAATTTATAAAATGGTGCAAATAGGTTTGTTCCTTGTGGCCAAACATGCTTGACTAGGGTTTGAGTCATAGACTTAAGACAATGATGTGTCCATTGACATCAAGACTTTTATAGTGACTTCATCAATCTTAAGATCTATGCTCATAGGGATGGATGTGCATGCGTGCGCTGATATATGTGAACGTCCATGCATATACAAGCGACACATGTGTTTATACTAAATACGATCAAGTATGAGATTGTCACGCGACACTTGCATTGGTGTGTGTCGACGAAATATGGTCGGCAGTCTACCCAGGGGTATGCCCAAGGTAGTAGATTATCGGCAGACAGATGCGCAAGCCACAAACAAGATGGTGACGCAAGACAGACACGAGGTTTTATCCAGGTTCGGCCGCCGTGAAGGCGTAATACCTACGTCATGCGTCTGATTGTATTGCTGTATGTCAATGAGAGATGTTTTTGAGAGGGGTCCCCTGCCCGCCTTATATAGTCTGGGGGGTAGGGTTATAGATCTGGAAACTAATCCTAACCAGTTACAATTGCCATAGGTGGCCAGATAAGGATTCCTATTCTAACCGTCCAGGATCTTGCTTGATCTCCAAATCTGCCTTGATTCCTTACTCGGGACTCCGAACAGATTGGCCGGGCCACGTGTAGTCTTCTAGTGGGCCAAACCCCCTGGTCCGGGCCGACCCAAGCCTAGCCGTAAGGGTATAGGGGTTAATACCCCCACAGCTAGTCCTCGAGCACCATGGATTATGCTGCGACACGCCGTTCAATCTCCTTCGGCTAATGCGATCCGTTTTCATGTCATCTCCAACTGGTTGAAATATTGACCAAGCGAATGTGCCAGTATTCTGGTCAGAACAGAGAGCAGTAGACCACGATTATAGCCGAAGATTCCGGTTGTCCGAAGAATGCATGGTGCTCTAAAGAAAAAAGAAAAAGATTTCTTTCCTGATAAAGTGTGCCCACTTGTATTTCTGAAAAGAAATGTAAGTGACCCTTGTACAATAGCAGTTATGGCCAATAGTCAGAGCGTAGGGGTCGATAAAATAAACACATTCACCGCAAGGTGAAGTGTGCCCTCTTAGTCCCCGAGCCTGGTAGTAGGTGACGCAGGCACGTGGTACCAGGGTCTAAAAAGAATTCCCAATTAAGTTGAAAATCTGATCGTCGTACAAACGATACGAGATGCACCGGCAGGTGCATCGTACCGATGTAGTCCCCGAGCTTGCTGGAAGGCGAGATTATCAACCTTGTAGCAAGGTCAAATGAAGAAAAAATATTCCAACTGTGCGAGTCGTCAGTCGCATGTAGTCGAGACACGAAGTCCCCGAGCTGTGATCGGAGAGTGGTCGAGGCAGTCCCCGAGCACAAGTCAAGGAGCGAGGGATGAAGTCCCCGAGCTGTAGTCAGAGAGTGGTCGAGGCAGTCCCCGAGCACGAGAGTGGTCTGGATAGTTCCCGAGCACGATGGTGGTCTGGACAGTCCCCGGGCACAACGGTGGTCTGGACAGTCCCCGAGCACAAGAATAATCGCGACAGTCCCCGAGCACAAGGATAGTCACTTGTACTATTATTTTACATATTTATTTATTTACTTGTTCTGTCAAGTCCAATTTGACACGTCTGGTCAAAAAAGTAGACGGGCATAGTACGTCATACTGCCTTTTTGTCTTGTCAAACAAACAGTTGCGTGGCACCTGTAAGTAGGTGCGTCAACGTGGGCCCTCCCACACTGGCAACGAAGAGGCACATATATTGGCATAGATCTCGAAACCGTGAAAACAACCGTCTGCGGCGCATGCGCACGTCTCCCAAGAATCCTAGACAGACGAAACAGCATAACTCTTGGGTTAAATACAGTGTAGGATAGGTAAGTTACTTTTTACTGAACCCCATTGCCATTCGCAGCCGCAGCTTTCTTCATCCTCTCGCCAACCCTAATACATCCAAAATCACCACCAATCAATCCTCCTTTTCCTCGTTCACCAGCAAAGCCAGATTCATGGCGAAAAGTGACGCGCAAAAAAAAGCAGGGGTCATGGCGAAGGAATGGTGGAAATCGAGAAGCAACGAGCAGACCATTGAAGACCTCGTCACCATGGGGGTACTCCACAACAAGGAGCTCGCAAGATGGCGTGCGCCAGAGGGCGAGGGGTACCCCGATCCACAACCAGGTGAGATCGTGGTGTTCGAAGACTTCTTTAAACGGGGATTTGGGGTTCCGGTACATCCTTTTCTTCAGGGGCTCTGTCTTTACTATGAGATTGGGATTTGCAATCTGCATCCCAACTCGATCCTCCTTGTCGCCACTTTCATACATCTTTGTGAGGCATATGGCAGCTTCCAGCCCTATTTTGATTTTTTCCGCCATCTTTTCTGTCTGCGGAAGAAAGGAAGCGGCGGTTCGAAGATAGCCGGGGGTGTGTACCTCAACCTCCGTGATGGCATGAAAGCCCAGTACCTGCACTGCCCATGGAACACGTCACTTGACGACTGGTACAAGAAATGGTTCTACATTCGCGAAGAGCCGAACACGATCACACTGTGCGACGTGGGGTACATTCCGGAGAAGAGGACAAGCTGGTCAGAGAAACCCGAGCACCTAGAACAGATTCCAGAAATATTTGGAATGATCCTGTGGAAAAGACTGGATGGCCCGAGCGTGGTTGGGAGTTTCATCAGCCGACGGATCCAGCCCTGCCAGAGGAGAGTACATCCTGGCTATGAATATCAAGGTAGCGCGGACCCGATGAGGACGAGGCAAGAGGCGCTTGACAAAATCGAAGTCAAAGCCAGAATTGGAGAGCTATTTAACTTACCTGATCCAAATTATGCCAGATTGAGCGACATCGAGCACGCTTTCAAGCTTGCCCGACCTCCCCCAAAGGTAACTCATCTTACCTTGTACCTGTAGTTTTATATCGTAATAAGAAAAACGAAAACTTACTGTGTGCACTCATTTTTGTTACCTAGGTCAATGGTCGGGATAGAGCGACAGTGTTTGTGTCGCCACCCCCTGGAGTGGAGTGGCCACAAGGAGGTGTTCCCACCACCCAGACCAGCGTCGATATCGAAGACGAGGACGTCGACTGGGCGGTGCTCGGTGCTGGAGAGGAGGCAGCGGCCCTAACCGCTGGTAAGCGGCCGGCTGCCCCCAAACAGTCGAAGAAGAGATCAGCAACCTCCCTGCTCACCGGGGGGGCGCTAAATATTAATGAGCCCAAGGGAGGCCCGGAGGAGGGACCGGCCAGCAAGCGTCAACAGGCGATTTTTGCCTGGTCAGACGATGATGCAGAGGAGGGAGAGGATGCAGACACCTTTTGACTTGTCCCTCGAAAGAAGAGGAAACAACTGGAGTCGATGGGGCAAGGTGTCTCATCCGTGCCCATGGGACCCACATCGTCAATGTCGGTGAAGGATGCAGCCGGGTCGACCTCGGGAGTACCTAGGCAAGGAACGCGACCGGCGATGGGAGCGACAACCCGACCAAGCACACCACCGACCATTGCAGCACGAAGGACAAGCGGCGGAGGGGTCGAGCACCAAGGCCCAGCGACAGTGCTGGATGTAGAGGGAGACCAGGAGTCACCCGCACAGCACATGGAGCAAGTACGGCCGAAGAGACGTGCCTTCGCCACATCGTTCCGCGCTTCTAACATGTAAGTATTTGTAACCTTATTATAAGTTAGCAATTTGCATTGAATATGGTTGTCTTCTGAACTTTCCTCGGATATACTAGTTCGGTGTCCACAGAAAGTCCGGACCAGCTAGCCGGAAGTTGCATGGCTCTGCCAATAAGTTCAGAGCAGACTGCCCAGCAGCCAGCCACCGAGGAAACCATAGCAGAAGATCCGTCGGAGCCTCAGCAAGGGAGCAGTC